TGTGTGTGTGTGTCTGTGTGTGTCTCTGTCTGTCTCTTTCCATACCGGGGGATTGCACTCTTAAAATACACCCGATACAATGCACCAGCCTGACTCAGCCGCAGACATTAGTGTTAGGAAGATGGCGCACCCGGCGATGTTTCCTAGAAGGGGCAGCAGCAGTAGCAGCGGCAGCAGCTGCGTTACTGCTCCCACTGCACCAGGTACCGGCGTTGGGAGCGCTGCCCTCTCCAACGAGGATTATCAGCCGCCTTTGCTGGTCCAGCCGCCGCCTCCATCTCCTGCAGCAGCTTCAACAGCGGGTCCACAGCCGACACCCCCTCATCCACAAAGCCTGAACCTCCTCTCGCAGTCTCAGCTCCAGCCACAGCCCCTTGCGCAGACTGGAGCTCAAATGAAAAAGAAAAGTGGTTTTCAAATTACCAGTGTGACCCCTGCTCAGATATCAGCTAGTATGAGCTCTAATAACAGCATAGCTGAGGATACAGAAAGCTACGATGACCTGGATGAGTCTCACACTGAAGACCTGTCATCTTCAGAAATCTTGGATGTGTCTTTATCCAGAGCCACTGACTTGGGAGAACCTGAGAGGAGCTCTTCTGAAGAGACTCTGAATAACTTCCAAGAGGCAGAGACTCCTGGGGCCGTTTCTCCAAACCAGCCTCATCTTCCTCAGCAGCATGCTCCTCTGCCTCATCACCCACAGCCGAGTGTTGTGATCAATGGAAGTGTTCATCCCCACCATGTTCATCATCACCACCATCTTCACCACCACCATCATGGACACCATCATCCATCACATCCTGGGGTGGGYACTGCCCCAGTTTCTGGAGGACCACCGCCCAGTCCATCATTTAGAAAACTGTCAACAACTGGAAGCTCTGACAATGTTATATCAACTGCACCAGTTTCTGCTGCATCATCCACTGGTTCCCTGGCATCTGCCATGTCTAATATCCGCACTACGAGTACTCCTGGCAATTTAGGTATAGGTCCTGCTACTGGAACTAGTACCTTAAATAATATTGGTGGTGGTGGTAGTTCTAGTGTGGCAAGCAATGTGCTTGGTACTATAAATTTAAGCAACATCACGAGTACTGGTAATGTAAATGCTTTGTCTGGAACTAGCAGCAATGCTAATGTGAATATCTTGAGTGGTGTTGGCAATGGTACGAGTGCTTCCTCTAGTGTCATTAACAATGTTACTAATCCAACTGCAGGAATGGCAGTGGGATCAAGCCAGCAGCAGCCTGCATCTGGCACATCAAGGTTTAGGGTTGTAAAGTTAGATTCTAGTTCTGAACCTTTCAAAAAAGGTAGATGGACATGCACTGAATTCTATGATAAAGAAAACACTGTTGCAGTTTCGGAGGGAGTAGCAGTAAACAAAGCAGTAGAGACGATAAAACAAAACCCTCTTGAAGTGACTTCTGAAAGGGAGAGCACCAGTGGGAGTTCTGTTAGCAGCAATGTAAGCACACTGAGTCACTATACAGAAAGTGTGGGAAGTGGAGAAATGGGAGCACCTACTGTGGTACAGCAGCAAGCATTTCAAGGTGTGGGTCCACAGCAGATGGATTTTAGCGGTTCTGCTCCTCCAGCRATTCCAGCATCTAGTATACCACAGAGTGTTTCTCAATCACAGCTTGCACAAGTCCAGCTGCATTCTCAAGAACTAAACTATCCACAGCAGAAGCCAGGGGTCCAACCTCCTGCACAGGCCAGTCTAACCACTGTTACTGGGGTTCAGCCAACCCCAGTTAACATACTAGGTGTATCCCCATCTCTGGGTCACCAGCAACCTGCCCTTCAGAGTATGGCTCAACAGCAGCTGCCATATTCGCAGCCGGCGCAGCCTGTGCAGACTTTGCCAGTGGTGCAGCAGCAGCAGTTGCAGTAYGGACAACAGCAGCAGCAGCAACAGCAGCAGCCAGTTCCTACGCAGATGGCCGCAGGTCACGTTAAGCCGGTGAACCAAAACTCTATCACGGGGGCTATGCCAGACTACGTTCAACATCAGCAGATCCTTCAGACTCCAGCCCCTGCCATGCAGCCAAGTTCTACAGGAGTTGCAGCTGGGCAACCAGTTGCCCAGGCACAGGGCATTCAGCCTTCAGTGCAGGCCCATCCAGCTACTGCCCCAGCTCAGCCTGTTGCACATGCTCCAGCAGCAATACCAGGTGTAGCTGCCAGTGGTCAAATGTTAAATGTTGGGCAGCAAGGAAGCGTAACTGCTGTGGTGCAACCACCATCTGCAGCAAACCAAATTCCACCTCCAGTTATGCCATCAACGGCTGCTCCTCCATCTTCCCAAGTAGTGCAGCCTGTGCAGACAGGAATAATGCAGCAGGGATTACAGGCTAGTGCTACAGGCCTTCCTCAACAAATGGTCATAGCTCAGCAAAACACCTTGTTACCTGTGCAGCCACAGGCACAAGGAGTGGAATCTGTAGTCCAAGGGATGACTGGTCAGCAGCTGCCTGCGGTAAGCCCTATACCRTCTGCTAGTACTGTTCCTGCACCAAGTCAAGCTGGTTCAGCTGTGCCTCCTGGCATACCTTCTGCTTCTGTAGGTTTGGGACAGCCACAGAGTATAGCACAGGCATCAGCTGTACAGAATGGCAATTTGGCTCAAAGTGTTAGTCAGCCTCCCTTGATATCAACAAGTATAGGTATGCCGGTGGCACAGAGTGTGCCACAACAGATGCCACTAAGCTCTACCCAGTTCCCCGCACAATCACTAGCTCAGTCCATTGTAAGCCAAATTGAAGACGGCAGACGCCCTACAGAACCTTCCTTGGTGGGTTTACCTCAAGCTGCCAGCGTCGAGAGTGGTGGTGGAGCATCGGCCGCTTCAGATGGTGGTAGCAGCAGCATGCCATCCTCTGCATCCCTCTTTCCGCTGAAGGTGCTGCCGTTGACAACACCTCTTGTAGATGGTGAGGATGAGAGGTAAGACTGCCTRTAACTTTATTGAAAGATGGACTGTCTGATAGTTTGATATGTACTAACTTGCAGGTCTTGTTACAGCCATTCTATGAAAGGAAGCAATGTGATGTTTCTGTCTAATTAAAATACTATTTCTCAGGTCTCAGCACATCCAGATATTGTATTAAAGAACTTGTTTCTCTCTTGAGGGAGTGGGTTGTATTGATTATGCTTTGAAACTGCTGTGTGGGTAAATTGTGTTTTAACAGTCTGTTCAGTGTGTATATTCCCATTATGTAGAGGAAGACAGAAGAATACTGTGGAGTATGGGTATGCTAGTGTTGATTGCAGTTTAGATTATTTGTTACACTGAAATAATTCTTTTTMTTAGGTAGACTTTTTTTCACAAGCCTAGGCTTCATCCTATCTCAGCTTCTCTCTTTTAATTATTGATTTTATCAAGGTTGTGATTCTGTGGTGTATTTAAAACCTCTTTGACAGCCAAGAGATGCTTTAGGTAAATGAGTATGGTGGGATGAGGGATGTTCAGCAACATTGTTGTGGCTCTTTGAATTGAACGTGGGGTACTTTTGGTCTTGATGGTTTTGCTTCAAAGCATTAATGCATGGTGAGAACCGCTCAGGTCTATGGAAGGATGGTGGGCCTTTGAATCTGCACCAATTCTGTGCARTTAGAGTAAGAAAACTGTATTTTTTTCTCATTTTCACCATTTCAAACTACATGTGTTCTCTTGCCTTCACCTTTCAAGTAAATGACCACCGCCTTAATAGTACGTGTGTGAATATTCTCATTTGACAGTGTGAGTAGAGAAGTTGTATCAGTTGTGAAAGGCCATTGTATGTGTAGGCTGAAGTGATGAAAACATTAATTTTAAAGTGTGATGGTTTGATATTAATTATATGTGGAAAGTCCTTAATGTATTGAGGACCTCTTGTGATATGGGTTTGCAGCTGGCTAGGAACACTGGTGCTTCTTCCAAAGAACTTCTTGTCTAAGAAGCTACGTTAATGGGAGAAGTAACTTTTAACATTAATAACCCACCTTGGGAATGTGGGGCAGGACAGAAAAAAACACTAGAAAAACTGAGATTTGGGTGAGGAGATCAGGCGCTAAACAAAAGATGGGAAAGATGCTATAGCAATGGGAGGTGAATCCCTTTTTAARTACCTTCTTGGTGCAATAATTTAAATCAGGAATAATGCAGTGGCCAGGTTTTATTAAAAAAAAAGAAAAAGAATAAAATGGTTTGCTGGGAGAGGCTGGATTCTTTTCTTAGTATTGAAAATCCTAACTCTATCAGCAGTTTCTGATTATGTTGATCATAAGGTGTTGACTGCCTTAGTGGCTTTCATCATATCTTTCTAAGATGCCAGAGAACTGTAATGAGTAGCAGCTTGTCTTCCACAAGTGCTAGAAGACAAGTTCCAACACTGTTGCATTCTGATTGTTTTTTTTGTCAATAAGTACGTGAAGGTGGAAGAAGACAGATTGAGGTGTTAAAGCAAACAGTGTCACCATTATGCTGCTAGCAGTTTTTCAGAGATGTTTTTTGTTTTCTTTCATTTGAATTTTGTAAACCAAGACACTAATCCTTCTCTTCATGGGCTCCGTTTCTGTTTGGTGATATGACATGTTTTTATTGTTATATGATTGTTGATTTTTTTGGGTTTTCTTTTATCAGCCAAAAAATCTCTCTAAGCTTTCTGGGGATCCTAGATGAGCAGGAGAATCATAACCTTATTGATATTCAGTGTTTTAGAAAATGACATCTAGAATGTGTCTGTACCCTGATTTTAAGAGCATATGTTAGCAGTTTGTCATGATTGGTAGTTTTTTCAGAATGTTTAAATCCCACAGGGTAACAATAGCCAGAAATACCTTCTTCCTCTCTTGTTTGGCTCGCCAAAGATCATATCCTTTCTTCTCCCATGCATGTTGCGTCTTTGTTCAATCTGTCATCTCCAGGTAGACTACACTTTTGTTTAGCTGCAGTTGGAAAATCATTTAGATTCTTTACACAAAGCAGGATATGACTCTGTTAAATGGAGACCAAAAATAATTGTGGGTTTTTTGCATGGCAGTAGTGGCCGGGTCACTTTTGTATACTGTCAGACAGTTTACAGCAGCACGTCTCCCTGTATATCTGTATGTGACATTAAAAACCTAGTGAGATTGCTTCTGTTTCCGCTTCCAGGGGATCTCAGGGCAAGGTACTTACATTACATTGTCATCTTGACTGGAATTTTGGGCTGGAGCTTAGAGTTCCTTACTCACTAAAGGGAGTGCAAAGATAAGTTATTATTCTGCTTGGCGCCCCACTTCCCTGGGCCTGGGATCTCTCTAGTTAGAGTTTTTTTGCTGGTTTGTGAGATTATTCCCTCTTACAGGAAGTGTAAAGGGTAGTGTGTTGTAAAAGGACATATTTAAGAAGTAGGTGTATTGTAAGTATGTGTGTTGGAAGTCTTCATTTCTCTCTGTCTGATCTACGCACGCATGTATCACTGAAGATTTCTATCAATACATCCCAAGTGAATCTAACCCTGGCAAAGGAAAAGGTAGAAGAAAAGAAGTGAGTGATGACATAATTGGGCCAGTGAAGAAGCTGTAAAATTCCATTTAGCGTGCCTTTGAAAAAACATCTGACCCACGTAATACCTTGTATAGATTAACTCCCAGCTTTCCTTAAACCTGTATATATTTGTGTTTAAGGCCGTGCCAATATCTTTAAGTCTTTAGTCTGTTCAGTTTTTAGAACACCATTTGCAGCTCTTTTTATGCCTGTTATCAGGGTACAGCCTTTTAAATATAGACAGTGTGGAATGYATCTGCTTTGAGAACCGTAACCTTTATTTCCCCTGTATGAATGACTTATTTCTAGTCATAGTGAAGATTAGATATTAAAAACGAACCGCTTGGCAGAATGCCGCATGGAAAAATAGTTTTCAAACCTTAATAAATAAAGAGAGGCTAGAAACAATACTCTGTACATTCTGTATTTATTAAAAAAAAAGGTAAAATCAAACCACTGAACAAAAAAAACCAAACCCCCAGCAAAATCACTAAACACCCATAGTTCCTTTGACTAGTCTTTAGCCTATTGAATATGCCATAGATGTTTAGATGTTTATATGTTGGTAAATATATAATCTCTTTCATTTTTTGGTCTACAAAAATGCTGGCCAGCTTTTTCTTTATTAAATACTTTTTTCTTCTCCTTAGCATRAAGCATGGTAATGGATTTATTTTAGAGTATAATTCTTACGTAGTTTCTTGGATTTGGAGTAGTTACCTTGATTTATTYACTATAGTTATTAAATCTTGCTGATTTTAGACATGGTCTTTTGAGTTTAGTTTTTCACCTTCAGAACTGTAGAAGATGGCTTTTATTTTCATGTGTTTGATATTTAAGCGTGGAAGAATGCATGTTTATACCACAGTGAATCTTTTTGTGTATTTATACTTAGTGTTGAAAAATCAGTTTTACATCTTTATAGACAATGCTTTGCTGTGCAAACTTGCAGTAAGATTTTTGGATGGATTTACATTATTTTTAAGTTACGTGTAAAATGAAAACTTTAAAAGTCATTGTGTTTTACASCATTTATAAAGGCTGCTGTAAGTGAATTTTAAAATAATTTAAGCTGAAATGTTGTTTGCCATTGCTCAAAAGCAAATTTTGTGAATCAAATATAAGAGAATTGATAACTACCTCCCTGTCTTTGGCAACATTTCCTGTAGAATTGTTTGCATTCTTTAGGCTGGTGCTAGTTGTGTTCACCTGTTTGTGTATTTCATCCAACAGTGAAGGAAAAGAGAAAGGAGAAGTTCATGGTAAGCACAACAGACATAGAGATTTAAAGTATTTTTTATTACGTTACAATCTCATGATTTTTTAAGAGAAATTTTTATTGCAAGATATTGCAAGTTTAGAAATGTTTTCTGTGTAGGACATGTGTTTTGGCTTGTTACTAAGYTTGTAGAGAGGCTGGAATATCAAACTGAACATGAGAATCAAAAGACTTTGAGCAGCCTTTGAGAAATCTCTAGCAGTARCAGTAGTAACTGGTACTAGATTGTAAAGTCAAGTACAGTCAGGAAGCTGAATTATGTTCATGTATACAGCTGTATAGTGGAAAGATACAAACCAGATTTTTAGATATATAGTTCAATACTTTTTAAAGATTTTAGTAAGCAGTAGTGAATGAACTAAGCAAAGTAGAACTGGAAGCTTCAATTATATTTCTGGTGCAGTAACTTTTACGTACTAATTTTGATTTTGTAAGTGGGTTCAGAGTTTATATGGGCTTTTTTGTTTGCTGGAAGTTTTGCTTCTCTGTATTTGGTGAAAAAGGGAAAAGATACTTTACAATGAAGGATATCTGGTGGATTAGCATAGATTTATAGTGATATTATTTTTAGTTGCTTCCTAGGGGCACTGTTACTATTTTCTGTTTTGCAGATTTTTAACTTGGTGCATAGACTTGCCACCATTTTGAAAATCAGGTGATTTGAGTTCTAGGAAATGATCTATTGAAAAAGTCTGTTTATATCTTCAGTTGAGCTTTCTGTGGAGCTTGGAAAAATTGTTAACCTCAATAATGGTAAGTCAAGTGAATAAACAGAGAGAACTTTGGTGAAGAAAATTTGCTTGCTATTGTGTGCTGCTGACAAGTCCAGTTTCTCRCTTCATGTGATGGAATAAAAAACCTGTTGTTGGTGGAATTGGCTTTGTTAGTTCTGTTCTGAGTAAAGAACAATGAGGAATTTAGGGTGTGCACCCTGTATGTCTGCTAACCAATGTGTAGGTGGCAATACCTCTTTTGATGGACCTTTCCTGATATTTTTTATAGATGCATTTTCTGTATGCCATGATATGCTTTGAACTGAGGATTGCTACAGTACTGGGTATTGCATTGTATTTCAAGACAGGATGAACCAACAGGTACCAGAGGGTTGTCAAAGCAGTAATTTAGCACTTGAAGGAAGATCCTGAGAAATTCATC